GTCCGCTTAAGCGCTTGCCTTCAAAAGGCGAGTCGGACAGCATTCGCACTCGCTGGCAGCGTCGACCATACTAGACAAACGTAGCGTGTGTGCGCAAACCCCAGACGGCCTCGAACCGTTTATATAATGCACACACGCAGAAAACCAAATGCGTCGCCGGGCATAGCATAAGCAAAAACACCGCTCGCTCCGGACCCGGGTCAGACCGAGCTGACAGCATTGCTGCAGAGTTAAATGTCGGAGACCAAGCTCCGTGAATAACCACGCAAACTCAATCGCCCGGCAAGTTGCAGCACACAGACGGGATTAGCCAAGCCACGAATTGTGAGAGAATCGCAAGGCACAACTGCCAACGCGCCAGTGCGGAGACAGCCAGGCACATACGAACAGATATGTCATCAAGGAGGGGAGGAGGAGCCAGAGGAGGAGGAGGAGCAAAGAGAGAAGTCAAAGGCTACCTCGCCCCTTCGCGGAGGAATCTGGTGTACGCCCCCGAGAACTCGGAGGGGGAAAGCTAATGATGCGGGATGCCACTATGGAGCCTGAAGAGGGCATAGAGGGAGAGAGCGCGCTGCAGGAGGAGCGAATCTCATCCAAGCGCTCCCGAGACACTGCTCGGAGGCATGCATCAGAAATAATCGAGGGCCCACTCCGGAGCGAGTTGGCCCATCGAACTGCTCTGCAGTCAGCCTTCGCATTGTTGGGCAGCGTGCAAAATGTGCGAGGCTATCGTCGCCAACGCCACAAGCGAATGCGCAAGGGCCACGAGTTTGAAAGCGACGTCGCGTGCACCAACCGTCGCAAATTGTGCGCAAGTTAGTGGCTTGGACTCGGGGGGCCGCACTGCGTCCCAGAACCTGGAATGTGATCAACGCACGCTCCACGCGGCGGCCTGAGAATGTCCGTAACGGCCACCTGTCGAGCCGACGGCGCAAGTGGACATAGGCAGCTATGGGCCGGGTCTCCCTGTAGAAATTTGTCGCCCTGCCCTGCCAACCGCAACGAACGCTCGAGTCTAGGCCACCTCCTCCAGGGTGGAGTGCGACACGTCGCTGCAGATCACTGTCGGCGCCAGCAAGCTCGAACAAGAACCAGTTTGGCGCCCAGGACGCTCTCCAAGCAGCATGGGCCAAGGAACAGGAAGGACTTGGGAGTAGATCCCGCAACCTCGATGCGCGTTCCTGCACGCGGAGGCCGCCGTGAGCGGTATTTTCGAATCGCACCACGCGGGCCTTCGCAGCTGCTGCGATGGCGCCTAGATCCGGCAGATCGCTCGGAAAACTCAGGGACCGCAAGTCCCGCAGGCAAGATGAAACCATCCAGCACGTCGGGCCTGGCAGCACTGGTTGACAGGCTCTCTGCTCGAGGACGAGAAAGTCGGACGGCAGGTCCTCCAGCTGAGCAACAAACTGGAGAACTGAGCTAATATACACTCGATACGCCTGTAGAAAACTCCTTCACGATCTTTCCATCTTCTTTAATCGGAAGAAAGCTGAAGTGCCAACGGCCCAACGCGTGAGGTGGAGAGGGGTTGGGGTCGGAGTGCAAGTGTACCTGGAGAGACTCACGCAACATCAAAACGCGAAAGGCAAGTGTACCTGGAGAGACTCGCCCCGTCCTTTTCCTCCCATACCAATCAGGATTGTATGGCTGGGAGATAAGAGAAAGCCTAAGGCCGAGGCGCCCCAAAACTCTGGCCCGCTCTATGTATTTGCGCAGCGGGGCCTCCCAGGAGCCGGCGGCCCGCCCGGGGCCAACCATAAAACCAGGGTGCTGCGCAGCCCCCGCAGCCCGGCCGGATCCCCACTCGGGAGCCCAGCGCGCCACCTCGTCCCTGACCTCCTGCTCCTGCTCCTGCTCCTGCTCCTCCTCCTCCTCCTCCTCCTCCTCCTCCTCCTCCTCCTCCTCCTCCTCCTCCTCCTCCTCCTCCTCCTCCTCCTCCTCCTCCTCCTCCTCCTCTTCTCCTCCTCAAATATGACCTCCCACTCTGTGCTCCTGAAACGGGAACAACGGTACAATGACCGTCTTCCGCACGTTGAGCTAGAGCCCAGACACCACAGCAAAATCTAGGAAAAACGACTGGAGGCAGCGGAGGTGGTGAGCACCCTCCCCAAGGATCATGGCCAAATCGTCAGCCCGCGCGCGCGTGCAGGCAGAAGGGGGCACCCGTCGCAGCCTGCGCAGCATGAGGTCCGTTGCCATTGCGAACAACAGGGGGGAGAGGGGGCATCCTTGACGGATGCCCCGCGTTAGAGGGAAGCCGAGGTAGCGGGCTCCACCCAAGCTGATGGAACAAATTGTCTTGGTACAAAACGCCGATGGCTCGGAGGAGCCAGGGTGGCCAGCCCAGCGAAGCGAAGAACTCTTGGAAAAAATTGTGCTATATTGGAGGGAAGACGGCAGCAACGTCATAAAACAAAGCCAGGCCGGCATCCCCTTCTGCGGCCATGGGCAATCGCCTCGTCTACGTCTAGAAGGTTCGCTATCATCAAGCGTCCTGGTAAGAACCCGCGCTGATCCGATATTATGAGCGGTTCGATCGCGGGCTCTACCACCAGGCGAATCGCGCTGGCGAGGAGGCGGTTGTCACAGCTCGTCATGTTAAGCGGCCGCACGCCGCTCGCAGGAAAGGCCGCGGCCTCACCACCCGCGGGGCTCTCAAGAGCCTTGGGAAGGAAGAAGAGCAGATTTTCGTTGAAGTCGGCGCAGTGGTGCTGGACTCCCTCCTCCCCTGCTTCGGACACCGTTTCTTGGAACGCCCCATGCAATACGTTCACAGCCAATTCCCCTAACGCCCTCCAAGCCCCATAGGGTAGTCCATCCGGCCCTGGGCAGGAGTCGTTGGAAAGACGGAGGGCTTCCTGAACATGCTGGCGTCTGAGCTGGAGCTCGTGCGTTACCGCATGCACGAGGCCATGGAGCTCCCGGTCGGCGGCGTCCTCTATCAACCACTCCTCGAGGCGATCCTGCCGAATGCCGCGCTCCCAGAAAGTCTCCCCCCAATGCCGCCGCAGCACGCTAGCCACATCGGCCGCCCCTGTCACGACATTGCCGCGTTCGTCGATGATGGCCCCAATGCCAGAACTGCGGCCAGGCGCAAGTTTGTACAACAATCGCATGCCTCGCTGCCTCTTCCGCTGTATCTGGAGGCCGTCGCCTTCCCCAGCGTCGTCCTGAGCCTCCCTGAGCAGGCATAGCGCGGCCTCCCGGGCGAGTTCGCCGGCATGCTCGCGGAGAGCATGAAGGGAGGTCGTCAAGTTCCCCTGTAGGTCCATCATTATCATAGTCGTCATCATCATCATCATCATCATCATCATCATCATCAGCATCAGCATCATCATCATCATCATCATCATCATCATCATCATCATCATCATCATCGTCATCGTCATCGTCAGCGTCATCATCATCAGCAGCATCATCATCGTCGTCATTATCATCATCTTCCTCCTTCTCCTCCTCTTCGTCGGCATCGACATCGTCTTCATAGTCGTTCCTTTCATCGTCGTCGCAATCTTCATCGTCATCGTCTTCGTCGTCGTCCTCCTCCTCCTCATCCGCCTCATCCTCTCCATCATCATCCTCAGCAACATCACTGTCGTCATCATGGAAGGGAGCCCCCATATGAGCAAGAGGATGCTGGTGTGGATCTCCTACTGGCCCAAAAGTTCGTTATATACCTATTTCCACAACAGCCTGGGGAGTCCAGGAAATCTCGAAGATCGTTCACACTCACATATCCTTGCCCCTCTGGACATACTATGCGTTGCTTCTTGTCCTACTCCTCCTCCACCACCTCATCCTCCTCCTCATCATCATCAGCATCACCTTCATCGTCATCATCATCAGCATCCTAATTATCGTCGTCGTCATCATCAGCATCATGACCACAATCACCATGACCATCATCATCATCATCAGCAGCATCATCATCACCATCATCACCATCACCACCACCACCATCATCATCAGCAGCAACATCATCATCATCGTCATCATCAATATCATCATCATCATCATCATCATCATCATCATCATCATCATCATCATCATCATCATCATCATCATCATCATCATCATCATCATCATCATCATCATTTTCATCATCATCATCATCATCATCATCATCATCAGCAGCAGCAGCAGCAGCAGCAGCAGCAGCATCATCAGCAGCAGCAGCATCCTTGCGCCGACGGGACTCTGATTATACCTCCTCCTCCTCCTCCTCCTCCTCCTCCTCCTCCTCCTCCTCCTCCTCCTGCGCCTCTGCCAAGGCTCAGGGTCGCGCACAGACGGGCCAGCCCTGGAAGTAGCCCCTGCCGACCTCAACGAGCCCCCCGACCAGCCCGCCACGGTCTCGACACCCGGCGCGGCCGGGGCGCTCGGCACCCCCCAGGGGCTGGGGTGCTCGGGCCGCTCTGGGCTGCCCCGCCGGCGTGCTGAGGGCACAGCTCTACAGGGCTGTCGGTGCTCGTCTCCGCAGGCCCGCTCGGAGAACCGACGCGGCACGCGGCCCCGCTGCACACGCCCAGCGCCCTCCAGGCTCGCAGTTGTGCCCCCCCAGCGGCCTCCTGGAGCTGCGGGCATCTCCAGGCCCGCGGCATCGCATCGGATGGCGTGAGCGCTGGGGCCCCACCTGCCACTCCAGAGAAGCCGCGCCGGCACGGAGGAGAGGGGGGCGCAACGGGTCCTGGACCCGCGGGCGTCGCTTCCTGTGGGCCAGCTTCGGGATCCTGGGCACTCGTTCCTAATCCCGGGGCCCGTGGAGGAGCTGAGCTCGGGAGCCTGAAAACTGCCCCAGACTTCCAGGACACGTTTCCCTCTTTGACTCGTCTCCTCCACGCCGCAGTCTCACACGGAGCGTGGTTCGTGAGGCTGCCGGTGCTGCCCTGTGGGCTTGCCGGGGGCAGCCGCGGCTACCTCCCGAGGCCCGTCGGCGCGCAACTCTGGGTCTGCCCATCACTCCATCGTCCGCCCCCGCCCCCCGCCCCCCCGCGGTCCACACGTGCACGCACTCCTCGATGACCGCGGCATCCTGGCCGCCTTCCCCCTCCTGGCCGCCTTCCGCGCTCCTCAGTGCCCGCGGCATCCTGGCGTCGTCCTCCGCCGCCCTTCTCTGAGCCATCGCCATCACGGACAGCGACGGCGTCCCGCCAGAGGGGTCGAGAAGGACCTCGGTCGGACATCCCCACACTCGGGTAGCGTCAACTGACCAACGCACCGAGCCTGGCCGTGCCGATCCTGAGCTCAGGAGGGCGCAGGCACCGGTGCTGGGCCCATGAGCGGCCCACGCGCCTCACGGCGACGGGCACCGTATCCAACGAGCGCACTGTGGTGTCTGCCGCCGAGGGCCCGGTATCTGAGAAAGGCGCCCACACCACCACCATGCCTGGCCATGGCCATCATGGGCCCTGGCATGGTGCATACACCCTCCTGGCCTAGGCCAGGAGCGTCTACACGCCACCCTTTAAGGCCCAGGATGCCCCTGCCCAGGCATGGTGAGGGCGTGGGCGCCTTTTGTCCACGACCGCGGTCGCACGGGAATGGCCCGCTAGGCGCCGGACGGACAGGCCGTACGTGTGAATGCCGTTTCTTCTCTCCTCGAGGCCGCCGCAAGGAGTGCTCGAGTGAGCCCTCGAGGAGCACCAAAGAGAGCGAGGCTACGGTCGGGACTTTGGTTCCGCGTGCCGCCACGGCGGCCCCGGCGACACGCTGCGCCCTGCGAGCGGACAGCGCGTCGCTCCGCTCCGCGGGAAAGAAGGCTGGAGGAAGCTCGGGACTCTGACGTTCGAGGGCCAGGACGTGGACAGCGTGTCACGCCGAAGCTTGGCGGCGCGCAGTGGGGGGCATGGGGGAAGGGGGGACGCTCTTCAGAAGGGGGCTGCTTCTTAGAAGGCGCTGGCATTACGTCCACAGGCGAGGCCCGCGCCTTCTCAGACGCAAAGGTGCTTCTAAGAAGCCGTCCCCCCCCGCCCATGCCCCCTCTGCGCGCGGCTGGAAAGCGTGGTGGGTCAGAACTGGCGGCGCGACGCGCTCCGAGCCAAAACTCTTGGCCGCCGCGTATATGTGGCCCGAGGCACGTGCGCGGGCGAGGCGGGGGCCGGAGGGCGTGCCGAAGGCAGAGGACGGGGGCACGAATTCTGGAACGAGAACCCCTGGCCCCGGCCATGAGACAGTCAAACCAAGCCAGAAAAAACCTTCCAGAACATGAGACCATCCGTCGGCCAAAACATACAGAACATCCTATGGCGCCCTCCCCCTGGATGCACAACAACATCCAACAAACACGAGGAACACTACACTGGAGCACCCTCCCCGAACCGACCTCGATCTTATACCTCGGGCCGACTGCACCATCCCCCCCCTAGTCCACATCCCCTCTTGGACGCCCCCGTGTTGTGCAGAACCGCCGGGATCCAGATGCGCGCTCCTCGGGTATGAAAATGCCCTGGTTTGATGTCTTTCGGCACTGGACGGCGAAGTGCGAGCGCCCTCTGCCGAGCAGGGTGAGCAACCACGTAAGGGCAACATGCGCGAACCCGCACAACGCGACCCCCCCGTCACACCTTGTCCTTCAGCGGCACGGTGGCGACACCGTCCCGATGAGCCAAGCAGGGAAACGCTCCGGCGAACTTCCGTACCGACTGGATGAAAATACCAGCCAGGGCAGCACGGCGGGCAGCCATAGCCGCAAACCCATCGTGCAAGCCACGACGATGGACAACTCTGAGAGAGCGGCAGTGAGGCACACAAGAAGCGGAGCAGGGAAAAAAAACTTGCGCCAGCGTCGGCACCGACCACGCACAAGACAGACACGGGCGTAATGACGACGGCGCCAGTGCCTGGAAGGTGAAGACCTGTCCCGTTCCACCCCCGCATCCCCACCTAGCCGGCCGATAGCAACCCCGCCGTCCTAATTTTCAAGAAACAACGTAAACTCAACTTTCTTTTCGCCAACATGTCGTCGAGTTGCGACAAGTGTAGCAAGAATGGGACGGAATGAACTCCGCTTGGGAGGCCTTAAGCGGGTGGCCGCGTCCGACCCATAAAAAACACTGCAAAATCAACGTTTCCTCGTCAACATGGACTTTCTGGTCGTCGACGCTGCGAAAAGTGTAACAAAAATGGGACGCGGCGCACATCGCGCGCAGACGCCTGAACCCTACGCGGGACCCCCCGTCCTAACTTACTTGTCAAAAAGCACAGCAACGTCGACGTTTTGTTCGCCAACATGTGTTTTCCCCTCGTCGGCGCTGCGAATCGCGTAGCGGGAATGGGACGCGGCGCACATCGCGCGGGGACGCCTGCTCGTCAACATAGACTTTCTTGTCGTCGACGCTGCGGCCCGTCGGGTTGAGGAGCTGGGCGGGCGGCAAGTCACAATGCCTCAAGCAAATGCGGTTCAAGCTAGTGCCTCAGGAGACCCCCAAGAGGTCGAAAAAAAGGCGTCCAGGAGGCCCTGGGGGGCAACGCACATATTTGTTCCATTTGGTGTTTGAAAGATTGTGAAGTTAGCACCTACTTGTGTTGACAATGTTCCAACCGGAAAATATATCCAAGAGGCCCTCAAGCGTATACCGGAAAAACTCCCATGACGCCCCGCGAATTCCCAAGAGGCAGTCTCCTCTTCCTCCTCAGTTTCTCCCTCCCTCCCTCCCTCTCTCCCTCCCTTCCTCCTCCTCGTCCTCCTCGTCCTCCTCGTCCTCCTCCTCCTCCTCCTCCTCCTCCTCCTCCTCCTCCTCCTTCTCCTCCCCCTCCTCCATGCGCGGCAGGAGCGAATCGATTGGCGGTGCAACACGCGTGGCTGGAATGAGACGCGGCGCACTTCGCGCGCTGGACATGTTGTCGCCGACGATGCAACATGAGAGGCCAGAGCGGGGCGCGGAGTACATCGCGCGCGGTCTTGTTTCTCGCTGACGTTGCTCAATACGCGGCAGGAATAGGACGCCGCCCATGTCGCGCGCTGAACGTCTACCCGCCCACGATATAAGATGAGCGACAGGCGCCGGACGCGACGCACTTGCTTCTTCTATTGCGGGAGGGCGGGTGGGAGTGGACGGAGCCCTCTGGCTCGTTCGAGCTGGCTAACTTGACCCCACCCCACCCCATCCCACCCTACCCACCCACCCAGCCCCCCCACATACACACACACACACACTTGTTGGCGTCGCGGCCCCGCGCGCGGCGAGGTAGCGTAGAAAATCGAGCGCAAGTGGCGGAACGCGCGCGTCTGCGCCAGGCCGAGCTCCCAGAGACCACTTAGGGCCCCGGAGATAGCGGCAGCCATAACCATCCGAGCCTGGATGGCGGGGAGGGGCAATGAGCGGACGAAACAACGGTGATGGTGGACGGTGACACAAGCCAACCGGGACTGGAAGGCGAGGAGAGCGAGCAACCGAGCATGGACAGACAAAGAGGTGCGCAAAGGAGCGACGGCGGAAGGCGAGCTGAAGGCAGTGGAGAAGCACACACACACACACACACGCGCGCGCACAGACACGCACGCACGCACGCACGCACGCACGCACGCACGCACGCACGCACGCACGCACGCAGCACGCACGCACGCACGCACGCACACTCACGCACAAACACACACACAAACACACTCTCTCTCACACACACACACCCACGCACGCACGCACACACACACACACACACACACACACACACACACACACACACGCACACGCACACGCACACGCACACGCACACACGCACACGCACACGCACACGCACACGCACACGCACACGCACACGCACACGCACACACACGCACACGCACACGCACACTCACACGCACCACGCACTACGCACCACGCACCACGCACCACGCACCACGCACACGCACACGCACACGCACACGCACACGCACACGTTCACGCACACGCACACGCACACGCACACGCACACGCATACACACACAACACACACACACACACACAACACACAACACACACACAGCCAAAAATGGAACGATCAGGACAGAACGGTGTCTGAGGTCCGTGTCCCAGATGAAGGTCACAGACGCTAAACTATCCCCCTGCCCCCCCTCCCCTCCTCCTCCGCCTCCTCTTTTTTATGTTCTGAGTAAAGAAGCGGGCTGGGGCCCAGCAGAACTGCTAGACGGCATCGGGCTGACCCCTCGAAGCTGAGCCCAGCCGACCTCATGCTCTCTCCTCTTCCTCTTCCCCCTCCCTCTCCTCCTCGTCCTCCTCCTCCTCCTCCTTCTACTCCTCCTCCCCCTCTTTCTCCTCCTCCTCCTCCTCCCCTCTTTCTCCTCCTCCTCCTCCCCCTCTTTCTCCTCCTCCCCCTCTTTCTCCTCCTCCTCCTCCTCCTCCTCCTCCTCCTCCGCCTCCTCACCATTCTCCTACTCGAGCGCGATGTCCTACTGCGGCGGCCCGTGATTGCAGGGTTCTCAGGTCCAGGCCTGCTCTTGCTCATTGTGAGACCGCCGCCCCAAACTGGCGATCTCCTCAACACTCAGAGGCCCGACCCTTGCCGTGGTAAGCCGTAAATGAGCGGGACATGATCTGAGATCCGACGTCGCGAAAAGTACAGCATCGTGCAAGGTCACAAGTGGGGCCCTTCACCTCGTCTCTCTGCGACACTCCCTGGGTTGGATCGATCTGCGACGGCCTCGGGGTCCGGATCCGGGCGGAAGCGCCCAGTGCGAAGAGAGTGCGACGCGCCAGGAGCTCAGCCTGGCCACGAGCGGGGCACCAGCCCCAGACATCGACAAACAACGAAACGCGCGCCAAAGAAAACCGTTTGAAATTCAAACGCGTTTAAAACAAAAACAAACAACACAACGGAGCGACAACGAAAACGAAAACGAAAAACAGAAACGAAGGCAAAACCCAAGCTAAACAGCGTTGAGGTGGGTCCCTGCCTTTTTTTCAAGACGGGGCCCCCGGGAATCCCGACCCTTCCCCCCACCGGGACCGCTGCTCCATCCCGGACCGTTTCCTGACGGTCTGGGGCACGGCGAGGGCCCCCAAAGGCCGAGAACGGCCAAGAACCTGTTTTGTTCGGGGGGGTGTTTTTGTTGGTCCACCGCGGATCTGCTGACCCGCATCGATCCAAGCCCGGGTCGGTCAGGCTCTACAGGATCCGGCAAAATCCTGCCAGGACAGGATCCCGCAGGATCCTGCACCCAAACCCGGGTCCGTGCAGCCCTGGCCCTGCCGGATCCTGCAGCATCCGGCGCTCTGGCTGACCCCTGGTGTGGGAGGCCTGGAAATGGGCACCAACACCAACACAGGGGGTTGTCCCCACAGGGGGGAGATGATCCTAGATTTCGGTGCTGGTGGTAATATTTCGGCCACCTTGGAAGCCAGAATATTACCACCATCACCGAGATCGGGATTCTCTTCCCTCGGTGGAGGCACACCGCCGATATTGGTGTTGGTGTCAACCTCTAGGCCTGCGATGGTGGCGTTGACCCCCGCCTCTTTCGGCGACACGCAGGAGTGGCCCTAAGCAAAAGTGACCACTGGCGCGTGCCTCAACGGGGGACGCGGGGTGGCAGAACCTGGGCGCGCAGGCCGCTGCCACCGATTCGCATTCAGCGATCGGGAGACCCCCTTGGGCGCGCACCAAATGTCACTCCGGCGAAATGTCAATCGTACGCCTCCTCCTCCTCCTCCTCCTCCTCCTCCTCCTCCTCCTCCTCGACTCTTGGGCCCCGACGCGTCACGACGCGAGCAGGTCCGCGAAAACGCCCGCAGGGCGCAGCAGGCTGGAGGCCGACGCGAGCAGCGGCGGGCCTCCGGAGGCCGAGCACGTGCAGGCTGCAGCACCGCACGCGCGCCTCGAGGGCGCGGGCGCCGCGGGCACGGTGGTCTCCAGGGGAGCCCGTGTGGGGCCTCGGGAGCGAGGGCGCGGAGGGGCCTGCGGGCTTCCGCACCCAGACCCCCTCGAGCAACGAGGAAATCCCGACGGGAGGTGCTTCGTCATTTTGGGCCTCTGGGGGCCCTTGCCGGGCCTCGGGGCCGTCAGAAAACGACTCGGGGCGAAACACCGGTCCCGGGGAATAGGTCGAGACCTCGGGGGGTCGACGTAAGGAAAAAATCATGACGTCGGGGGTCTGGGAACGTTGTCAGGAGAGGTGAGGTCCAGACGGAGGAGGCCCAGGCGGAGACCGAGCTCTCCGTAGGGACCTTACTCGTAGGGACTTCGCCTCCCACCAGGAGAGGCGAAGCCCAGACGGAGCAAGGCCAGACGGAGACGGAGCACTCCGTATGGACTCACTCCGTACGGACATGACATCCGCCGACGTTGGCGCACATCGCGGAGGAGGGCTGGTCGAGACAGCCGCGGCCCTCGCTGGCGTGTCGTCGTCCCTCCCAGACCCCCTCACGTCGTGAAGCCATCACGGCGGGAGGTTGTCTGCAGCTCTCTGCAGCTGTGGGCTCTTGCCTGGCCGCGGGGCCGTCTAAGCAAACTCGGGATAAAACGCCAGGCCATTACAAGGGGTCTAGAGGAGCTCTGGGGCTACGCGTCATGACAAAACATGGCGCCGTGGGTTTGGGTTCTTGGGCCTCCCCGACGCATCTCGTCGCCACGGCCAGATCCGCCTCGAGAAACTGATTAGAATGGACCCGGGGAGGCGTCTCGGGATAGATTTTGAGCGGATGTAGGCCGAGCGGGAGAGCCGCCATTGTCTCAACTGGCCCTCATCCAAACATCGCGACAGGTTCACAGGGATGCACCATATAAGGATACAAGGGCATGGGGTGCCCAAGCTGAAGCCTTCTGGGCGAAAATGGCCAGCGGTGATGGCTGAGAGTGGACCGAATCTGCAAGAAAGAGTGCCCTTGGAAAACTACTTATCCTTATGATCATGGTTGACCGTAGGGCACCAGCACTGCCAAGATCGCTGCACCGCGATGGAAGACAACAACATCCATAAACAGAAACTTTCGGAGATCCGCGCGCAACGGGTTGGATCGGCGCTGGAGCCCCCCCTCCCTGCCACGCGGAGCGCGCCAGGGGCCGTGCCGAAGGCGGGGCTCCAGCGCCGATCCGAGGCGTCCGCGCGGATCCCCGAAGGTTCCTGCTCATGCAGACTTGTCCTTCCTCGACGCGTGGCACGAGCACATCGGTGCAACGACGCCTGCAGACTCGCGGGACCGTCATCCCTCCAGCCGCCTCTGGGCGTCCGCCCGGGCCCGGGCGCTCCGGTGGCCACACCGCCGAGCGAGTCCGAGGGGCGTGCGGGGTGCGCGGGCAGGCCCTGGGCACCAGGACTGCGGGTCTGAGGAGCTGCGCTCCCCTGGGCCTCCGAGGTCCCCGAGCCCTTTTTGTTGGTCGCTCGACCCTCCGAGGTTCCAGGACCGTCCGTCGGCCGACCCTTCGGCGAGGTCCTTGGCATTTCGAGGGCCTGCGGACTGACTGCCACCAGACGCTCTGGAGGCCCCCGGCCCTGCTGGCTTCTTGGGAGGCTGCTCCTTAGAAGGCGCTGGCCCCCCATCTGCAGACAAGGCCCGCACCTTCTA